GGGGGCAGCCCGGCGGGCGGCTCGGGCGGCGCCCCCGGCGGCACCTCGGGCAGCACGCGCCGCTGCGCCGGGCCGGGCGGTGGCTCCTCGCAGCTGGCCCCGCGCGGCGCCGGCGAGCTGGTGGAGAGCCTCAAACTCATGGGCCTCTGCCTGGGCTCCCAGCTGCACGGGAGCGCCAAGTACATTCTCGACCCGCAGAACGGCCTGTCGTTTTCCAGCGTGAAGGTCCAAGAGAAGTCCACGTGGAAGATGTGCATCAGCTCCGCGGGGAACGCGGCGCCCGCCCCTGCCGTGGGCGGCATGAAGTTCTTCTCTGACCATGTGACGGGCACCGCCGCCGAGTTGGAACGCTTAAAGAGCAAGAACCTGAAAAACAACGTGCTCCAGCTACCTCTGTGCGAAAAGACCATCTCTGTGAACATCCAGCGGAACCCCAAGGAGGGGCTGCTGTGCGCCTCCAGCCAGGCCAGCTGCTGCCACGTCATTTGACCGCGGCCCCCCTCGTCCCCCGTCGCTGGCTCCCGTCCTGCTCAGAGCAGTGAAGACCGGCTCACTTCACTCTCCCCTTTTTGGTTTTCCTCGTTTAAAGCGGGCAATTATTTATTCCTTTCTCATTTGGTCGCCTGACGATGTGACAATGCATGGTCTTTGTGCATGCTGCTAGACACTACTTTTCATTTCCAGCCGAAAAGTCTCTTGTGTAATTTTTACATTTATAATTTTAATGTGGATGATCAGGAGTAAATTAAAATGTATATTTGGAACCTAATATAAACGGAGCACTTAGAAATCTGATGTTCTGCACTTAACCTAGAGAGAGAGAAAAAAATGCTTTTGTTTCCTTGTGAAAAATCTAAATTCCTGCCCCGACCTTCTGTGAAATGGAAACTCTGTGCTCTAAGGCACACGCTGGTGTCTGAGGCAGAACCAAAGCAATAACGTGATGCCAACAGGCCTGGAGCCCGCGAGTGTGTGCACACTCAGCCTTCTGAGGCCTGAGCAGAGCAGAGTCCAGCCAGCGTCTGCACTGACAACCTTAAAACCATGATTTCAGCATACCCACACCTGTTTGTCTTAAGCTATAGTGTGAAAGTTTGGGCTCTTAAAATTTAACTGAAAAAGATTTCCTTGTTTTGTAACAGGCGAGATAAAGTAGTTAGATTTATAAGGCAGCTTCCCCTGTAGTGGTAACTTAGAAGCAGACAATCTCATTTTGTAATGTGACAAGGTGAACTGATGATGTCTTAACTCTACGTATAGAGTACGAGTCTGTCTAACAGAACAAAACTGATGCTCGGTGTGGATTCCTTCCTGCGGGGCACACCCCAGGGCCCCTTTACCACCATGTAGGTAGAAGAAACTGTAGAGCCTAATGTGGAAGCCAAGGTGCACACAGATACTGGCAAAGTCAAAACCCCATAAATTAAAAAAAAATTATTGACATTTGATTTTTAGGAGTTTGATCATTAGGTTGTCTTTTTTGTTTCTACATCCTTTAGCTCAGCTACCTATGAAAATTGGCTGATTGGAAAATACACATAAATGGGTAAAATTCATACACATACAGCAAACAAAAATGCACAAAGCCTGCTTTGTTTTTGTGTGTTTTGTTTTGTTTTTTTGCTGGAAGTGTTTTTTACTTTGCCTTCCTGCCAAAACAATAATCAAAAAACTCTTGCTTTAAACTATTCCTGTACAAAGACTACTTTTGACCAGATAATCATCTTTTGTGGCTATTATCTTATAGGACACAGTATATTGTAGGCTAGTCATTTCGGAAGGGGCCAGATGCTACTTTTTCATGCTGTGCCCTGGGGGGCCTTGAAAGCAATTCGTGGTGACACTGGTGAGAGGATGTGGCTGGCCTCCAGGGCCTTCCCACACTCATCGGCCTCCCGTCATGTCTCTGCAGTGACAGTTGCCTGGTGCGTGGCGTGGGCAGAGCACCAAAGACAGCATTCCATTGGTCACGGTTTCTCCGAGAACACGCTGACTCTGCTCCTTTAGGATTCATATATTTTACTCAGAACTCTGAATCACAGTATACTTAACAAAGTAAATATGATACTCAAAATACTTATTTTACTTTCTAGACCTAGACTAGATACGTTTTAAGCTACAGCTCTAGTTCATTGTGATATTTATAATTGAAAGCTACGAGAATAGATGTGTGGGTGAAGCCATAGAACATATTTGCTTGAAGTTCTTGAGCAGGGATCTTACAAAGGGCCAGAAATAAGATGTGTGGTTCACATAGACAGTGAGCGTAACATCTGTATTAAACGTAGGAGAGAAGTTTATAAAGGGCATTGGCAATAAACTCTTTGTTGCAGCTGTTTTCCAAGTAATGTAAATACTTTTTCCTGTGATTATGTATAGCCTTGGAATGGCACCTTTTAACTAACCCATATGTGTTTGGTTTTCAATGGTTTTTTTATATTCAGATGTATATATGGTGCTCACTTTTAGGATCAGCAGTGTTGACCATTTATGCTGCATAGCTGTATCATAGCCTTATTAGGTTTGTGTGGTTGGTTGACCCTCTGGGTACACAGATGTTAGTCTGAGTGGCGTCTTCCTCATTTGTTCATAAGTGAATGATTGTGCATGTGTTGTATGTCATAGTACGTCGTCACATAAAAGGGAGGGGAGCAGATAACCATTATATTAAGATAATATTGGACCAAACGACTTACTTGCTCTAAACAGTTTCTTGTACCCCTTAACCTGTCTTCAGAAGTTGCATAGTTACAGTAGTGTGTAAATTAAATATTGTGGAAAAAACAATTTGTCTTGTATTTTTCTGTATGTGTGTCTGTGTATATATATGCACACATATGTATGTGTGTGTGTGTGTATATATATATATATATATAATTATGTACTTCTGGCAGTTCTATCTGTATTTAAAGTTATGACAATCTTGACACCAATTTTAAGAATAGCCGTGAGACTGAATCAAATTCAAGATATCCCTTCCAAGTAAGAACTGATGTGTGTTAAGAGGGTACAGAATTAGCTGATTTGGTCGGCTGCTTCCACTGCTGGCTGATTTTCCTGTGTAAACATTGACAGGTATGTGACAAATGGGAAAAAAAATCCAAATAATAAAGTGGCATATTGGTGTTCAGCAATATAAACTGTGTCCCCATGTTCTGTTTCTTCTTATGCATGCAGCTTTGCATAGTCCTGGCCTGGGTTACACCAACGTTCCACATGCTGTGTGTGCACCTGCACCGCCAGATGTGACTGAAAAATGCAGTCGTGACTGTTCTCGCTTTAAACTCGTGACCGCAAATCTCAGGTGGGTCCCAGGACTGCCTATTAATTAAACTTTACTTCCCCAATTCACCTACTTTCCTCACTCACTGGTCACTGCTCCCTGACAAACTTCTACCTTCTTACCCTCGTGTGTATTCACACGCCCTGCTCTTCCGTTTGGTGGTGTGGTTCCGGGTCAGTCCCTTCACTTGCACCTGAAGACCTGACAGGTGTGAGCGAGACCGACCTGAGGCCTTTACCATTCTCTTTCTATTGCACCGTCAATCTTTGCTCCTCTACTAGATCATTCCTAACAGCAAACAAAACAAATGATTTTATTCCTCCTGTCTTAAATGTTGTTGTTATTCTCTCCCTAGTTGTTGTCACATTTTTCTCTTCTCTACTCTCTCTGAACCCTTCCAGTCAGGCTTTGCTGCTGTCACCCCACCAAAACTGCTCTGCTCAAGGCGAGCAGCGATCATGTGCTAAATCCAGTGGTCAATTTTTAGAAACAGCTTTGAGATACAATCCACATTCCACGTAATTCACCAATTTAAATTGTACAATTCAGTGTGTTTTAGTATATTCTCAGAGTTGTGCAGCCATTACCATAAACCCCAAAAGAAATCTTGTACCCATTAGCACATTCCCCCTTTCTTCTGAACTCCTACCCCATTCTCAGCCGGGCAAACACTAATCCAGTGGTCAGTTCCAATCCCACGTTAGCATTTGCTGAGTTGATCACTCTTCCTTGCCAGCTTTGCACTGGTCAGGTCCCCACTCCCACCTTGCTGCTCTCCAGTCCACTAGCCCCACATTCTCCCAGCCGCTGAACTTGGAATACCCCAGGGTTCAATTCAGGATTCCTTCTCAGCCTGTACACAACCTCTTGATGATCCCATTCAATCTTAACATCCGCGTCCTAATAGAAACCCAGAATACATTTAGCCCACATCTCTTGCAGGAACACCAGATTCCGACCATCTATTTGATTTCTCTACTTGGATGTGTCTAATAAGCACCTCAATCTTTCTAAGCCCCAAACTCCTAATCACCCTCGAATCTTACCCTTCCTGATGCTCCCCATCTCATAAATGACAACTCTAAACCTTCATTCGTTTTGCAGAAGTAAAAAATCTTGGTGTCAGCCTTGACTCTTTGGTCCCAACATCCCATCCATCAGCAAATCTTATTCACCGTTCAAGGGTTGACAGCTCGTTGCCTGCACTGCCAACACTCAACACTTCCTCAATCTGGGCAGCTGTAAAAATGCCTCAAAGGGTTTCACCAGTTTTGTCCTCGTCTCTCCTTTCTCCATTCAACTTTGTGAGTGATCATTCTAAGAGCAAAATCCTGTCTCATATTTTGAAAGGTATTTAATTTCCAGATGTTTGAGAATTTTCCACATAAGTTTTTGTTACTAATTTCTAGTTGAATTCTGTTTTGGTCAGAAATCATGCTTTGTGTAATTTAACTCTTAAAACTTGGTCAGAAATCATGCCTTGTGTAATTTAAATCTTTGCTCTGTGATTCGGCTAATGGCCTATCTTGGTGAATGTTTTTGTGAGCGCTTGAGAAGCGCTGTTGCTGATAAAGTGTTCTGTATGTTCTATACACATCGATTAATTCAAGCTGGTTGATGGTGTTATTTCAAGTCTTTCATATCCTTACTGATTTTCTGTCTCAGTATATAAATTACTGAGAGAGGAGTGCTGAAATCTAACTATGGCTGTGGATTTTGCCTATTTCTCTATGAAATTTGAAGCTCTGTTGTTAGACTGAAGATTGTTGAGTCTTGATGAATTGATCCCTTTCACCATTATGAAATGTTCCTGCTTATTCTGGTAAATTATTCTTTGTCCTTAAGTCCATTTTGTGTGGTACTGATACAGCCATTCTGGCTGTTTTTGACTTGTGGGAGTGTATCTTTTCCCATCTTTTTACTTTTAACCTAACTGTATCTTTATATTTAGAGGTCTTTTTGTAGACAGCATATAGTTGCGTCTTGTTTTTTTTAATCCAATCTTGTGTTTTTTTAATCCAGTCTTTGCTTTTTATTTGGAGTGTTCAGACCAGTTACATTTAGTGTACTTATCAACATGGTTGAGTTCAAAGCTGCCATCTTCTAAAATGTTTTCTGTTTGTCTAATCTGTTGTTTCTTTTACTACCTTCTTTTGGCTTAACGGAACACTTTCCACTGGCTTTTTGGCTGTGTGCCTCTATTTCTTTAGTAAGGCTACTGTAGGGAAACATACACACACATATATATAAAATATAATCATACATGTATTCTACATATATATGTATGTATAAAATCACAGTCTACCTCAAAACAGTACTCCTTCATGTAGGATGGAACCTTACATCTCTGTACTTCAGTTTTCCTCCACTTCTTTGTACTGCTGTCATTTTTATTTTTATGTATGCATACATATTTTTGCTTTAAATAGTCTTTTTAAGAGATCAAATGGGAAAAGACTTATTTTACTGACATCTTTATCATTTCTGTCACTCTTCATTCTCTTATATAAATCCACATTTTGGTGTTTTCTGCCTATAGAACTTTAAAATTTCTTACAGTGCAGGTAAGCGGACAGTATATTCTGGCAGCTTTTGCTTGTGTGCAAATGTGCTTTTACTTCATTTGTGAAGGTTATTTTCATTGGGTATAGAACTCTAGGTTGACAGTTTTTTTGTTGCAGTTGAATTTCACACTGTTGAGTGCTGGATTTTATCTTCATGTAAAAAGTGCTGGGTTTTGTTTTGGCACAGTTACTTGGAATCAGTTGGATCCTTTTGGATTTTGCTTTTAGAGGACAGATCCAGAGCAGTCTTTAGGGCTAATCCGATGCACCACTTCAGTAGAGTTCTCAGCACAATGCTGAAGTCTTTCCACTCTGGCTGGCGGAAGCATGCAGTGTATGCTGGGATCTGTGTACATTCTAAGCGCTGCTCAGCCTCCTGCTTTGTGGAGTTCTTTCTCCAGCCCCACGTAGTCTTAACACACGTGTACTGACCAGTGTTCAGTCAAAGACTGCAGGTTTCCAGGGCTCGCTCGCCCCCTGTGCAGCGGGATGCGCCTGACTTGGGGCTACCCCTGTGCCCTGAAGTCCAGCAGGGACTGGGTTCCTCAGACTTCTGGGTCTGGTGAGGGGCAGATGCGAAGAGGAAATGGGATCTAGTCTTTCTTGAGCTAATGGGACCCAAGCACCTTGTGACTGCTGGGGACTCATATGTATTTTTGAGGACCCCTGACTCCCAAACACCTCACTTCCAGCAAGGCGTTACAGGTTGAGAAGTCAGGAAGAGATCAAAATCGCAGAGTTTTGGTTCTTGTGAGTTCATGATGTCCTTGGGGAAGAAACAGGGATTTAAATTAGCACCAGGTAGCAGTTGGACGGTGACATCTCACAGGGCACTGCTGTGAGGGTCAGGAGGGTTCCAAGAAGGTGAGTCGCGGGAGGGAGGAAGAGTGCAGGGGACAGAGAACTGAGGGGTTGGGCAGGATTCGGGTCATCAGTCCCGTGTGAGCCACAGGGAACAGGTGTGGACTTCGCTGAGAGGGAAGAAGCCACTGTTCTTCCTGACTCCTCCATCCCTTCACAGGGACTCAGCGTTTCTGGCTTGGAAAACTGGAGGGCTGGGGGGTAGTGCTGGAAAGAGCATTGCCGGGCGGAACATCAGCTTTTGGATGGGAACGAGACAGATTCGCTGTCGCACTGTGTCCGGTCTGTCGTCCCCTAGGGTCCCTGCCTAGAAGGGCCCTCTCTTGGCTTATTGCCCTGCTCTTAGTTGGTTGTCTTGAAATTCCTGGTAAGTTTTGAACAAAGGCACTCTATTTTCATTTTGCACTGGGCCCGCAGGTTGTGCACCTGGCCGAGGGGTCCCTCTGTAGAGCTTCTTCCGCAGGTCTGGAGGAGTGAGCTCGGCCGTGAGGATGGGCGCTTCGGCGAGAGCAGAGGCCGAGAGCAGCCAAGGCCAGAGACAGAAGCCCGGGCCACCTCCAGTGTGGGGGCGAGGAGTGGAGGCCACAGAGCGGGAGAGCAGCAGGTGAGTGGATGAGCTCCAAGGGCGAGAACGAGAGGAGGAAGCTCTCTGAGAGGCATTGGGAGAGAGAGAGGGGGCATCACAGATAGCGCCGCCCCAAGGAAGGCGCGGGCAGGCGGGCGCGTGGCCCTGCTTCCCTGTGGGGGTATGAGGCTCAGAAAGGTGCAGGGCGCACTGCTGATCTGTCCCGAGCCCCCTCCTCAGGTTGCCCACCTGGATGGGGAGAGGTGGGACAGTGGCTGACGCTTGACCTTCCAGCCTTGCAGAGGGCCGGGCAAAGCGATATTACAGCATCAGGCTGTGCGGTCCACTGAACCGCACTGTGGCCCCTACATAACCAGTGTCTGTGCATCTCGTTACCTTTCTAGTACCGAAAAGTTCCGAATTCCGTGACAACTCTGGTCCTGAGGGGTGCGGACATGTAGATGAGACCAGGTCAGGGTGCTCATTACAGCTCGTGATGAGAAGGCATTTGGAGTCAGGGGCTGAGACCTGGTGTCGCAACACGTCCCAAGGAGTTCCAGCGTGCTGGCGCTCCCCTGGGCTGGAGGGCTGCTCCCTGGGACCTGTTGTTCGGGAGCCAGCTGGGACTGAGGAAGTGTCTGTCAGCCCCAGGCTGCCTGTGGTCTGTTAGGAATCAGTACCTCAGTGTCCTGTAGAAGCACAGCAAAAACCTGGGTCAGTGGACACACGGCTTAGGCGGGAGTTGGTACATCGTTGGGTCATTTCAGGTCACCAATGCAGATCGCACCCTGTATCCTTCCTTCAGTTGTCGCCCAAATGCCAGGGTCATCCAGGGTACGGGCAGGGCACCCTGGTCGGCGGCATTTGGGCAGGTCCTGGAAGGTAGTCTCCCCGTTTATTTAGCTGACTCTGTCTGTGAAGGACAAGCCCTGTGGTGCTGGTGTTAGGCCTTGTGTTCTGGGATTGGAGGGGCAGAGATCACTGTTAGTGGCTCTTCGGCCTCCCTTAGGGTGGGGACATACTTGCTTTCTGGTTTTCTAGCCAGACAGCTATGTAAAGGGCGGTGTGTATCTGCATCTGCACTGCTGAGTTGCCCTCTGGTTCACTGTCCAGCACTTTGACGCTTTTCCTGGTACTGAGCGAATGATGGGCTGTAAGCTCTTCATGCCTCGGGCTGGTTGTGCAGGCCTGTGTCTGCTGCACACATGTAGGGGTGGGGGTGTTTGTCTCCCCCCCGGGGGTCAGCAGACCTGGACTTACCCAGCTCCGCGCTGTCTGCATCCTCCTGCCTGGGCCGAGCTGCTCTCGGGTGTGAATGGGAGACCACAGTGGGTAGTGGGAGGAGCCAGGTGAGCCTGACACCGCGGTGACTTCCCTGTCCCGAGAGGAAGCTCACCAGCACTGTGAAAGGTCCAGAGAGGCGGCCACGTGTCATCAGTGTGATCTGTGCCATAGGCTCAAGGGAAAATGCCATTATTCCTCTTTTACTTTAGCTGATCCCTAATGACAGCAGGAAGCCCAGCGTCTCCGATCGGGGGAGATGCAGTCATCCAATGCCAGGCATTGAGGGAACTGGAAAGACTCTTTGGTCCTGCACCCTGTTGCTGCTCTGCCCCGGATCCTCTTCAGGCCCAGGGGTGCTTGCCGGCCGCGTGGGGGTGGTGCTTGTTGCTCCAAATCCCTGCCAGGCCATGGTGACAAGGCAGCTGGAGGGTGGGGGGGGGGAGGCTGGCTCTGCAGGGCCTTTAGCATCAGCTCCTTCCTGAGAGAAAGCAGCAAGCCCTGTATCCCCGCCGTCCTCAAACTCCAGCATGACAGCGTCCACTGCAGGCATCCTCAAAGATGCAGTCTCAGACCAAACTGCCAAACCCTGTTCCTCAGACCGGGGTGGTGGCGCCCGTGCGTCTGCATTGAACGAGGTCCAGGTGATTCTTTCCGGGGCATCTGTGGCCACACTCTGAGGCCCTGTAACAACAGGCCTCACCCTGATGCAGGCCTGGGGCCCCAGCTACCTCAAAAGACCTAATTTTGACTCTTAGAAAGTTGGGGTGAGCAGTGTCCCTCACCCTTCCCAGGTCCCTACTTTTGCAGAGATGGGGAGACCGCAAGTGGGCCTCTTGACCAGGGGAAGCACCTTCTCCCCTCTGGAGAAGCTGCAGCCCCACGTGGTGGTGATGCCAGGGTTGTCCCAGCCTGAAGGAGACTCCTGAGGACACAGGCGCCCTGGCAGCGGGCCCGCATTTGTCTCTGCTGCAGGCCCTGGTGGCCCTGGGAGGTGCTGGATGCTCCAGCTTCTATCAGGTCCTTTCTCTTCAGGCCACCCTAGGGTGGGGCATGGCGGCACCAAGGGAAGTCCTCTGACTTGGCTGACCAGCAAGAAACTCGCCAGGCCTGTTACTGGCTGGCTGCCTGGTGCCAGGAGCTGTCCTTGCTGGGCCTTGGGTCAAGCTGGGTTAGGAAAAGTCTGGACCCCAGGGCTCTGGTTCTGTGGCCTTGGGTGGCCTTCCTCCTTCTTGGTGCCAGTTTCCTGCTGGAAGGAGAGCGGGAGCTCAGGGGTCAGGGCTGACGAGAGAGCTGGGGCCGCAGTGGTGCAGGCCCTGGCAGACGTGGGCCACACTGCTGTGAGAACTTGGGGAAGTCACTTAAGCCCCCTGTGCCTCAGTTTTCTCATCTGTGAAATAGGGACAACGTGAGGAAACAGGCTCAGAGGGCATATCAAGGAGGGCAGTGGGCTCCTGGCCGCCCCCTTCATTGTAGGGCTGGGTATGCCTGACCATTTGCTTCTAGTTTCCTCCCAAAGCCTGTAAGAAAGATCTGTTATCAAGTCTGAGCTTTGGAGCCACTGCAGGGGATGAGTCAGTGTGGCCACCAGGAGGGAGACAAGGTTTACTGCCTGCTCCCACCCCTGCCTGAGGCCACAGCCCCAGTGGCGGGGTCTGCCAGCAGAGACCCAGGCCTGACCACAGACAGCAAGGAGGCGTCTGGGTGGGGGGTCTGCGGGCCCAGCCTGGCCCCAGGGGGCCCAGTGAATGTCAGGGGGAACAGAGTGAAATGTAATGCTGGTGAGAGGAGTCAGGCTGAGAAGTAGAGTGGGCCAGGGCCCGCTGGTGATCTGGGAGCTTGGTGCCAGTTTGTTACGGCTGGAGAGAGGGGAGTTGAGGGAAGCGTGACAGGCAAGGAGCTGGGCTGTGGCCTGGCCCTTCCTGCAGCCTCAGGTGTGCAGCTGGAGGAGCCACCCTGCCCCCGAGAGGGTCCCCCTTAGCAAGGGCCACCTGTGTGGCTGCACACACCCCTCTGGGACCCTTCCAGCAGGGCCGGCTTGCGCAGGAATTGGCAACATCGCCTCCCTGTCTCCAACTCTCCCTGGGCGGCCGAGGCTCTTCCCCCGGACCCGCCCGTGCAGCTCCCACCATCCTCGAGAGCTGTCGCGCTTGGGTCCAAAGACCCGGGTTCACCAGTGCGGGCAGGGCCTCACGTGCCCTCTGAGAGCCGAGGGGGCTGTGTGCACAGGAGGCTCTGGATTCCTGTCCGGCTGCTCCCTGCCTGGTCCAAGATGCTGCCGCCTCTGTCTCCTCCTGGTGCTGTTTGTCTTGGCACCTTTTCTTACCCAGGCTCGGGCTCCTGCCTCTGGAGTCCTTATCTGTTCAAGGCTGGTGGGTGCCTCCAGCTCTTGTCAATGCTGGGGTTTGGGAAGGCTGGTTAGGAATGAGAGGAGGGCTCTCCCCCAGCTGGAGTCCTTGGGGTGTCCAGGAGAACTGGGGGAGCAGCCCAGGGACCTCCTATGGGTCACCACAGGGGCTGGAGACAGTACAGCGGGAGTTGGGGGGGTGCCACAAGGACCCCAGCCCAGCAGGGCAGTGGAGTGGGTTGGATCTGAGGCTGAGGTGAGGCCAGAAGGACAGGGACTGAGTCCGGGCCGATGCAGTGCAGGGAGCAGGTGGAGGGGAGTGGTGCCAGGAGACGACAGTGGCCACATGGGCTGAGGGGCCACCCTCTTAAAGCACGTGAGGCCAGTGTGTGGGCCGTGCAGTGGGTCAGTGTCATCCTGCATGGCTCCCTCAGTTCAGTTAAGGTGACAAGGGACTATAAAATGTGAAGCCATGAAGGACACCTTGGTTCCTTCCAGCCCTGACCTTGGGCACCAGCAATGAGCCGGATGCCACCAACTTCAAGCACTGGGACACAAAGAGCAGCTCTGCAGGCCAAGTGGGTCAACGCAGCCTTCTCTTCCCGCCAACCTCTCTCCTGATGCCACCTGACTGGTTCCCATGTCTGTCTTCCTCCTGCCTGTGACCCAGGGACCAACCCCCCTGGAGGTGAGTCCTGCTGGTCCAGGCCGACCTCGGGTCCCAAGTTCCCTCTGCATGACTGGCTTAGTCCTGGCTAAGTGCTGTGGTTCTGTGGGGTCAGACGGAGGAAGGGCAGGGGGAGGCTTCTGGGAGAGACAGTCCTGGGTGCAGGGAACCCAAGGCCTGGACTGTCGCAGGGCGAGGAGGGCCAGCTGGAGAGGCTGCCGGCTCAGAGGCGGCTGTGAGCCCGCGAGTGGGGAGAGGAGCTGACAGGGTTCACATCGGAACCCACTGCCTCACCTAACTATTCATGTGACTGGTCCCCAGAGCCACTCGGGGGGGCATCAAAGAGCCGGGTCCAAGGACCTCAACTGAACATTCTCCTTTCCAGCAAATGGAGGCTCCAGGCTGGGGTGGTGAGGAAGCTCTTGGGGGCTCAGGGTTGAGGACTAGAACGGGGGCTACCATTCTAAAACATGAGCATGTTCTAGAAAGTATTAGGCATCGCACAGCCACTGAGCGCTGGTGCCATGGAGGAGAGGGGACAGAGGGCACAGACGTCCACGCTGGCAAAGACGGCGGTCTGGCAGGACCCACTGAACAACCCCGCGTGGCAGACGGGAGAGTCGGGGCTTCTTAAAATACACCCACCGGAGCGGTCCTGCTGCGGCCGCCCCCTCCCTTGACGTGTAGGACAGAATCAGGGCACCTCAGCCCCTGCCGGGCCCCCCGAGGCAGGTCGCGGCGTCTGGGGGGCAGGGGCTGGCTGTTTCCTGAGGCACTTTGAACAGCTGACAGGAAAAGGAAGCCCTGCCCTCTGGGGTAGAGCCACACGCCCAGAGGGCCGTACCCAGTGGGCCGGGGCTGTCGTGCTCAGCCAGGGAGGGGAAACACCAGGAGAAAGGCTGGCCTCCCCCGTAGGGGTGGGCCCTGCCGGGCACCCTAGGGTCAGGTCCCGCGGCAGCAGAACCTCCAGAGAACTGCTGGGGCTTCACTGCATGCTTTGGAAGCCGCTCAGCCTCGGGCCAAGCCTGGCCCTCAGTGCCCCTCACGGCCGGTTCAGAGCAGAGGGCCTGGCTCGGCCCACAGACAGGAGGAGTCAGAGGTGCACGTGGCCTTTAATAGCTCGGCTACCGCTGCTTCTGTGACAAAGGGTCTGGTAACATTGCAAAACAGAACCAGGAAAGACGCATCTCAAGTTGTGGAGTTCTGGGAACACTGCTCCTGTCACTCACTGGGGGCTCCTGGGAGGGCACACGCCCGCCCACCCCACCCCCCGGTGTGCGGTCACCGTGCAGGGGACGTGGGGAGCTGGTGGTCCATCCATGGGTGAGGCTGGGGCAGCAGTGGCTCTGGAGGCAGGTCAGGCAGCTGGAGTGGCGCTTGGGGACGGCCGGGACCCCGCAGAGCCTTCTGGCCAGGTTCCCCGTCCACCTACACTCAGGGCGCCTTTTCTTTCTCACCTTCTCTCCACTCCTCCTTCAGGTTCTCGGTTGCGAGCTTTACCTGCTGTCGAGAGAACACAGGACACGGGTGAGCCATGCAAGCGCGGGTGGTGGCACCTCGTCTGAGGGAGACATGGGACAGCACGTTCCCTTAGCTCCATCCAAGAAGCTGTGACCTCTGACACTGCCCGAGGCTCCCTGGGAGTCCAGAGTCCCCATTTCTGACCCAGAGGAGACAGGAAATGGTAAACGGTGAGTGGAAATGTGTTGGGTGAGCCCAGACCAACGGGGATGTTAAAGATACTGAAATGAGAAGCGGCTGGCATCTCTTCCTCCCTGGACCTCCAGGGGCGAGGGAAGGGAGGACAGAGCTGGGGGTCTGAAGCACTGACGGTGGGGCCCAGTCCTTGCTCTGCTCCTGCAGAGGGTGACCTTGGAAATGTGCCCACTCTAAGCCTCAGTGTCACAACTACACAGTGGGTGCCATGGTGCACTTTCTGCAGGGTGGTGGGGGTTACTGTGCGGGAGTCCCTGGCCCAGAGCAGATGCTCTGTTCAGCAGACATTTTGACCAGGCCTTTGTCTCAAGAGCCACATCCAGTACATTCGCGGACATCCTATGAAGGCTCAGATGGAGGTGACAGAAGGAAGGAGCCGGCACCTGAGATCAAGGCCCGGTGCGCAGGAGTCCTGCTGCTCCAGTCCCAGGCCTCGCCAGCAGGGCCCCACCACCTCCGTCCCATGGGTGCTGGAAAACGTGAGTACAGCTCTGCCCTAATTACTGAATCACTGAATGACTCCTTTGGAATTTGGCTTAAAGCACACACAATTGTTGATAAGAGCTCCTTACTGAGGGGAACACAACTCTGAACACAAACACTGCGGTGTTCAGAGCACCCGCGCACGGACCATAGATGCAAAGGCGCTTCATCCTGCTTAAACCCACTCTCCTCTTTTAGGCTCCTTTTAGACCTGCAGTATCTTGGGAGAACCCCCCAACCTTTACTCCAGACAGTCCTCATCTTCTGAGGCTGCTGTGTCTTCCCCAGGGCGGCTAGAGGTGGACTCCCGGAGGCCGAACTTGGGGAGGGACCTGCCTCGCCCTTGCCCGTCCGGGGTTCAGGGGCTGACTTTGTGCTGGGTGGGGTGGGCTCTGCCTGCAGGGAGTGACTCACGGCAGAAAGGCCGGTGCAGACTGTGATTGAGTTCAGAAACCTGGGGACGTGGAACGGCCATGCCCTCCAAGTCTCCCCGGAAGTTTTTTTGCATCTACTCCCTTTTCCATTAGTAACATTTCCTTTCCTCTCGCGAGCCCATTTTTGATTTAACAATCCCCAAAGAAGCCTTTTTTTTTTTAATGGGGATAATGTTGTTTACCCCCACCCCACCCTCCAGGAGGAGTTGCTAAAGAGAAGCAGCCTGGGCCCTGCGGGGACAGCGGTGCTGGGCTCCATCCACCCCGGCACCCTCAGCCCGAGCCCACACTGTGGCCTGGAAGGGGTCGGCTCCTCACAGCCCGCGACTCCAGCTTGCTTATTGTGAAAGATGGCGGAGAACATCTCAGAGACTCCCACCTCTCCCCGCCTGGACCTTGGACCTGAGAGGAGTGAGACAGGTCACCGGGGGCTGAGTCGTTCAGGGAAGAGGGCCTCCCCCTCCATAGCCACACACACAGATGGGGGGCCTATAGGGCTCCTTTGGCTCAAAACCCACTGAATCAGAACTCATTTTGATTTTTCCTCACCATGTGGAGGAGGAAAATGTGGCTAAAGATTCTGTGACAATCTAGGGATATTTTATCATCACGATGGTGCTAGTTTAGTTAAATGTATTTAGCTTTTAGCTTTTAACTTCTTACAGTTACTTGTCAAATCAGGAAACAGATTCATGTTCTGTCCACACACCCCCCAACCCCGGCCGCCTCCTGCAGCCCAGAGCTTTGGCTTTTCCTTAGCGACTCTTGTTGGAGGGCGTGGTGAGGGGGGAAGCAACATTATCTCCTTAAAAAAAAAAAACCAAAACCAAAAACTGGCTTCTTTGGGGATTCTTGAAACCCTATAAAAATATAAGCAGGGTAATAGTGTTGACGTCTTCCCCATATAAAGCGTCAGAATGGAGAGAGAATGAAATTTCCCTCAACTCATGACTCATTAAAACACTTATGCTCCAAACTTCTTTTAAAAGCAGAGACTGATTTTTGGCATCATCATGAATAATGATTATACAGGAGACCTTGAAGGTTTGTGGCAATGCTGTGTTAAGCAAGTCTATCGGTGCCATTTCTCCAACAGCATTATTTTTTTTGTTTTTTTAGATACACTTCATGGACAATGGTCTTTTATATGCCTTGGGATGCAATATTTGCTTCATTGCAGTGGTCTGGAATCAAACCTGCAGTATCTCTGAGGTCTGCCTGTAACAGGAACCTAATAACTAAGTGTGTTCACCAAACCTGCAGCCTAATGTGAAGGGTACGTACCTGGCTCCCCTGTCCCTGTGGAGAAGTACAGACATGCTTCCCACAGTCCTCAGACGGTACTTCACCCTCCCAGGTTTGTAGCAGAGACTCCCTGGCTGGGCCCACAACCAGCTTTGGGATCCTTCTCTTCACATTATTGCCCAGTTTTCAACCTGTCAGCAACTACTCCATTACTCCTTCCCCCAAAGCAACCACCACCTACAGAAGGACTCTATCTGGGCAGCTCTTGGCTGAGGACAGAAAGAGCCTGAGCCTGAAAGATTCATCTCTCCCTGTTTACTGGAGGCCTCCAGGCTCTCTAAGGGCAGAGCTCAGGGGCTGGGTTCTCGGGCCAGTTCAGTTCAGCAATGGGGCACCTGCTCCCTGAGGCCCACTAGCCTCAGGTGCACACTCCTTGATGACAGAGCACTGTAGTCACCCAGTCCTCCCTCCCCACCCGCCTCTGTGCTGATGGAGGAAACCCAGGGGCCCAGGACGGCGGCCAAATTGTCCGCTTGGTCCCAGTGGGAATGCAGGACTCCTCTAACAAGGTCCAAACCTGGCTCACCCAACCGGTGAGATGTGGTGTCTGCAAGCTCATTAACTGCGCGAGCTGACCCTGGGGAAGGTAAACGTCGGTTCAACTCTTCTTACGTTATCTTTTGGCAGGAGGAGACTAAGACGGTGGGGACAGAGGGATGTGGAGCTCACCCCCCCCCGAAACACATCAAAAATACAACCACAGCTGGAACAAGTCTCACAGAAGATACACAACGAAAGCTGCAAGACCCCCATGTAACCGGGTAGGACTAAAGGAAAAGGGGGGGTGGCACCTGTGCCCCGGAGGGAGCCCCTTCACCAGCGGGGAGACCAGCCTGGACAGAGAGGGGGCATCAGGGGCTGGGAGGAGAGCCCAGCAGCCGCTCTGAGACGGGGGGACAGAGAAACTCCAAGTGGCTTAAAAACTTATGACACCATAAAACTCCTAGAAGAGAACACATGCACAATGTTCTCTGACATAAATCACAGTAATATTTTTGTAGTTCAGTCTCCCAAGGCAATAGAAATAAAGGCAAAAAGAAACAAATGGGACCTAAATTTATAAGCTTTTTTCACAGCAAAGGAAACCATAAACAAAACGGAAAGACGACCTATGGACTGGGGGAAAATATTTACAAACGATGTGACTGACAGGGGCTTAATTTCCAAAATATGGACAGCTCATACAACTCAATATCCAAAGAAAAAATAACCCTATCAAAAGGTGGGCAGAAGACCTAAATAGACATTTCTCCAAAGGAGACATACAGATAGCTAACAGGCACATGAAAAGATGCTCCACAGCATTAATTATCAGAGGAATGCAAGTCAAAACCATAACGGGATATCACCTCACACCAGTCAGAACGGCCATCATCAAAAAGTCTACAAATAATAAAGGCTGGTGAGAGTGTGCAGAAAAGGGAGCCCTCCTGCACTGTTGGTGGGAATGTAGTTTGGTGCAGCCACTATGGAGGACAGTATGATGATTCCTCAAAAAACTAAAAATAGACTTAACTTGTGATCCAGCAGTCTCACTCCTCAGCATATATCCAGAGGGAACCCTAATTTGAAAAACATGCACCCCAACATTCATAGCAGCACTATATACAATAGCCAAGACCTGGGAACAATCTAATCCACAGATGACTGGATAAAGATGTATGTGTGTGTGTGTATACACACAAATATACACAACGGAATATTATTCAGCCATAAAAAGAATCAAATAATGCCATTTGCAGCAACATGGATGGACCTAGAGATCACTATACAAAATAAGCCAGAAAGAGAAAGAAAAATACCATATGATGTCACTTATATGTGGAATCTAAAAAAATAATACAAATCATCTTATTTACAAAACAGAAAGAGACTCTCAGACATAGAAAACAAACAAGATTACCAAAGGAGAAGGGGGGGATAAATTAGGACTATGGGATTAATAGATACACAACACTATTATATAAAATAAACAAGAAGGATCTCCTGGATAGCACAGGGAAATACTATCTTGTAATAATCTATAATGGAAAAGAATCTGAAGCTGTACACCTGAAATGAACACAATCTTGTGAATCAACTGTAGTTTAATAAAATTTAAAAAAACTTCTTAAAAAATCATCTTTTGAGCCCTGCGTTCTTTGCACATTTGAGTTTCTGAGCAAAATGTCCAAAAGCAAAAGTTAAAGGCATTTCAAAAGAAGACCTCACAGGTATCTTGAGAATGCAAATTACTTCCAGTGGCGAGTGCGGGGCCCACAGAAGCCAGAGGCTTGCGTCCCCGCCACGGGCATGAGGTGCCACAGGTGGGTGAAAGGCACTGAACACTAACAAAAAGACGACAAAGCGAAACTGAGGCGAGAGCGAGCGAGCCGCCTCCCTGGGTTTGGGAAACTTTATTGGGAACAAGAAGCCCTCACTGGAGCTGCTCTTGCCTCTGTCCTTTCACCCTCCACCAGCGGGCGCTGACGGCTTCTGCAGCCTAAATGCCATCTCTCCTGTTCATCCCAAATCCACACGAAACCACTAAGCGCTAAGCGTCACAGACCCTTCCTCGGGCAGTGCCCCTGGGCGTCATGCGTGTTCCTCTGCGCCATCTTCCTGGGAACCTTGGCTGCCGGCCTCCCCGCCTCCCTATTTCCCACATGTCTAATTGTGCTTGTATGTCGAAACCTCCTTTCCCCTCCTGCTGTGTGGACATATTTTTAATGTCTGTGATAGTCTGTTACCTGCATGTAACTTAATTAACAGTGACCAACACATTATATACCAGGTGCTGTTCTAAACTATGCATATACTAAGCCATTTGCTCCTCGTAACCGCCCTATGAGAGACACCATTATCAACATTTTAACGATGAAATTGAGGCTCAGAGGGGTTGAGAAACCTGCCCAAGGCCACACAGCTCATAGAGGTCTGAGCCCAGGCCATCTGGCTCCAGAGCCTGGGCTGCTAACTTGCAGCTGCCTGGCCCTTTACCAGTGGTGCATCCCAACTCTGGGCTGGTTTTGTGCGATTATAACATCACCCAGCTACCCACTGGGTGCACCTGTGCTGTGAGATTCAGAGTCAGATGGGTCACATTGTCATCCTGTGAAAGTTTGCTTGTGTTTGGAAATTCTTGGTGAGGCTTAAATTTTGTCCTGTCCCACTTCGCTCAGATTTTCCGCTTTAGCTAAATCTCCAAACCAAGGGAGTCTGGCTTTAGGACACACCACGTTAACCCCATCCTGACCTGTAAGCACGAATGTAAATAAGCAAGATTTTAAAAGTTGCTTGATATTCTGGAAAGGAAGTTTAAGAGTTAATTAAAAAACCAACCAACCAGAAACCCATGAGAGTGTGCTTTAAAGAAAGGGTTCTAAAAATGCTCAATATCGCAAATTATCAGAGAAATGCAAACCAAAACTACAATGAGGTATCACCTCACACCAGTCAGAATGGCCGTCATTCCAAAGTCCACAAATAATAAATGCTGGAGAGGCTGTGGAGAAAAGGGAACCCTCCTGCACTGTTGGTGGGAATGCAGTTTGGTGCAGCCACTGTGGAAAACAGTATGGAGAGTCCTCCAAAGACTAAAAATAGACTTACTGTATGATCCAGCAGTCCCACTCCTGGGCACATATCCAGAGGGAACCTTAATTCAAAAAGACACCTGCACCCCAATGTTCACAGCAGCACTATTTACAATAGCCAAGACATGGAAACAACTAAATGTCCATGGACAGATGACTGGATAGAGAAGCTGTGCTGTATTTATACAATGGAATACTACTCAGCCATAAAATATAATAAAATAATGCCATTTCCAGCAACATGGATGGACCTGGAGAACGTCATTCTGAGTGAAGCCAGAAAGCGAAGGAAAAATACCATATGATATCACTTTTATGTGGAATCTAAAAAAAAGACAAACTTATTTACATAACAGAAACAGACTCACAGACGTAGAAAACAAACTTATGGTTACCAGGGAGGGAAGGGGGTGGAAAGGGGTAAATTGGGAGTTTGAGATTTGCAGATACTACTATATATAAAACAGATGAACAAGTTCATACTGTATATCACAGGGAACCATATTCAGTATCTAATTGTAACTTGTGAAAAAATATGAAAATGAATATGTATATTCATGTATCACTGAGTATTATGCTGTACACCATAAATTGACACACTGTAGACTGACTACCTCAATAAAAATACACTAAAAAAAAAAAGGCTTCTAAGGCGCTTAAGAACCTGTGGGAAATGTGGTGGGACAGTCAGTTGGCAGAATCACAAGTGCTCGAACAGCTAAAACACACAAAAGGCGGCCAGTGATGGACAAACTGCTTACAAGAGCATCTCCAAGGGAGGGAAACAAAGAATGAGCCAACCTCAGTCTGGCGGCGAAGTGCCAAAGTAGAAATGTTCATAAATTGTCCAGGAACAAGAAAGGTTAAGATAAGCAACGTCTCCTTTACTAGACGAGGAAAGGAAACTGGTAACAGATGCTGCCTAAAAGGTGGCTGAGTCCAGATACGAAGAGTGGACAAGAATACTCTGCCCCCAAATCAGAGGACCAGTGACAGTTTCTTTCAAAAACTGACTTTTTAAATGATGTCATTCACTGCAGTAACTAGATTCTTAGATACGATGTTATTCTGCAAACTGAGATGCAGTCCTGGGCTGTTTATCAGGAGAGAGAGATAGGCAGTCTGATCTGTTATACTGACACACCCAGTGATGCTGCCAGGACATTAACCCAGTGGCTCAGATCATCCAGATGACCAACAGCATCAGGTCTGCAGGAGGCACTACCTGGACAAGCCTTTCCCAGCATCACATACTCAGGAACTAGCCCCATCTTGATCTGAACACAGCCAGTGGCCTGGGATGGGGGGAGCACCACACCTGCAAGATCTCCCTCCCTTCCTGCCTGGAAGCCAAGGACGGGGGCAGCGTTCTTCTCCCACAGCCCGAGTCTGCCGAGGCCAGGGAGCCCCATGTGTAGCACACTGGTCACTAGGGTCCCTTGGGAGCTGAGACCAGAGAGGTCCGTGACCAGCCACGGCCAAGACAATGGTCTGGTCGACCCTCATCTTCATTGTGGGTCCTAAGTTGACAGCTAGGGACACCCCAGGGCTCACAGTTCAGGCTGGGGGGCTGGGTGTGGATGCACAGGATAATGGACACCAGGACAAGGGGCTGCTCCAAGGAACACCCCCCCATCAGGCTCCTCCAATGAGTCCCAAGTAGTGGAGAGTGAGGGGACGCGACTTCCCTGTGGCATGAAAAACAGACCCAGAGTTTAGAAAACAGAAGGCTGAGGCAAAGAGTCCACCAAACTAAATGTAGGAGACAGTCCACTGCCCACACCAGGGCTTCAACCAGAGTTTTTTAGATTTAAAGTAAACATTTTTCTTAAGTATCAGTGGGGAATAGTGTCTAATCTAAGAAAACACTGAAGGTCACTGCAACAAGCAGGAGAGTGGGTGCAGCTGTCCCAGAGGGGCCGCGTCTGTGCCCACAGCGTCTGCACCCCTTTCTGTGCGCCCACCCTGTGCAGGCACGAGAAGGGGGGACCCTGTAAAGTGCAGGCATGACTTTGGGACGCAGAGAAAGCACAGGAGTGTCCCGTCGTCCTTGGGATCGTCCCAGGCAGCGCTGGGTTCTCCCCGCCTACACAGGGGGTGGCTCTTTGACAAAGGCAAACATCTATCTTTGTTCATGTCATCTAATATCTCAAAATCAATATTATGACTAAAACCAAGCCCAGAATTACAATATGGACTATGATTTTTAAAACCCCATGTTACCTCCACTGCCCGAGAGAGTAACACACACCCTCCAGCCGTGGGGCTGACCCCGACCCCTGGCGGGTAGGAACGGCCGCCGGGCTGCCCGTGGAGGGAGCAGAATTGCCGGCCTCGGCGCCCCTTCTGTAGAGCCTGGGTCAGGCTGGAGCCAGGAATGGCTGACTTTCTCTCAAGAAAAACACCCTGAGTGCTAGGCAGGGACTCGATCCTTCATTCTCTGGACTTCCTTTCCCTGAGAACAGCTAGTTTCCCC